AGGAACAGGGAAACTCAAAATTATACATTTCCCATAGTCCACTTTTAAATGTATTCTGTTAGAATTACCTGTTACGATATACAAAGATGAGCTGTCAGAAAAAATCAGTTTCACTTACCATAAAAATTTCCTTCCTTTGAATTAATTAAAAAAAAAGAAACTATTGCTTTGGGAAAAAAATAGTGTTTTAGGAAACAAACAAAAAAATAGAGTGTTTGAGAGAAGAATTATTTACTGCCTAGGGTTTTTTTTTTGAGGAAACTTTTTAAGGAGAATTGAAGATATCTAGTTAGGTCTTTAAATGTGTTGCTATTATATATTCCTTGCCTTGCAGGAAAAGTTTTCAAAGTCTGGACCAGCTTTCAGCAGAAGTTAGTCTCTCTCAGTCCTCTCTGGATCCAGGTCACTCACAAGATGGAAAGCAGGATGGAATGAACTTGTTAAATGAAGGTACAGAGCCAGACTAATGGCTTCCTTTTCTTTTGTTCTTCATAGCTCTGATGTTTGGTCCCTGTGAGGTGAATTTTCAGTATGAACAAAATATGGGTTGAACAGCATATTTTTTCCTTGGTATGCAAATTGCTTCAGTTTCCCTAAGGACTATACTTCATATAAGCTTGGACTTACGAAGATGCACCTCCTCCCTTCCCCCCAGTAATTATGAGACTCTATGCTGTATTTAAATCTAAGCTTCAATTATGTTGCACATCTTCCTTCTCCATCACAGAACCAGGGACAGCTCAGCTACAAGGAGGATCTTCTATCAGCTTTCTGCTATAACTAACTCAAATCTTTTGTTTCTTAAAATAAAGATTAAAGGCACTGGATTTGCAGCTACCACTGTCATTCTTACATCTCGCATTCAACATTTATCTGTGGAGATGCAGCCTGACATTGTTTCTCTTAAAATCGAAAGAGGAACATTGTATGAACCATGCAAGTATAGAAATGCAATACAGACACAGCTCCCTCCTTTCAAAATCTGTGTGCTTATCAAAGTGTAGCTGCTCCATCTTGTGGGCAGTTATGAAAAGCAGAAAATTGCTAGAAGACTTCTGAAATAGTATTTTCGGTATAGAGAAGAAGTTGCTATAAAAATCCTTTTTGTATCTCATCAATTGTTAACTTTAAATAGACAACGATACAGAGCCTTAATAGTTCGTAACTGTAGTTCACACTGGTTTTAAAGTATCAAGAATGTAAAATTTAGATTTTTTTTTTTTGTTAATACGTAAAAAGTCATAATCTAAATTCTTGTTTTTCTCAACAGGGAAGGAAGACACTCCATCATTGCTTGGTCTTTGTGGCTCTCTTACTTCAGTAGCAAGCTACAAATCTCTCACAAGTCTGAAATCAAGTGAATATCTTGCAAGTCCCACAACAGAGATGACAAGTCCAGGCTTAACACCATCTTGAGATACACACAAGAAGGAAGAGCTTTGTGTTGTATGCATTTGGGTTATGTTCCATAAAATGACCTGCAATGAAGACTGCTAGTTCTAAGATAAAAAATAAGCTACTTTAATTTTTCTTCTCATGGTTATCTATTTAATTCATAAATTCTGTCAGTTTTCATTCAAACTTTTTTTCCCCCCTGAGGACTTTTCAGATTTTCTGTTTTAGTCTCATTTAAAGCTCTTGGTCAGGTACAGGACATATAATCTGATGCTTATGGCTGATATTTAAATGAAACAATTGGAAATCAGTCTCCTCCTTAACTGCCATGACCTTTGTTTCTCCTTGCAATGGCCTGGCCCTACTCTAGCCACGGTGCTTCTCTGCAGTGCTTTAAATATCTATCAACTCTTGCAGAACAGGCAGGGAATCCTTCAAGCCAGTCTTTGTAGGCAAATAAATATTTTACCTAAAAATCCAGCTTTTCATCTGTGTATGTTGCTTAGGACCTCAAATAGCATATTTAAGCTATCAGCAGCTCTTCTCAAGTTGACTCGACGTTAGATTTTGCATTGCTGTTTGTGTCATGGCACTTAGATATCTGAATACCACTGAAGAACCACACTGAAACACTCTTACTAATTCTTGAAGTTGCATGTGAATGACAAATGTAAGTTGATCATCGAAATCAAGCATCCTTAGCAATTTGTAAATGTTGAGGAAATTCACTAAATGCTTTTGAGTGACCTAAGTTGCAGATAATCAAACATTATACCTTGGTTTACTGGCCTTGCTGGAAAGATGGGGGCTAAGGATGGTGGGGTTAGCACCTTGGGAAGTTTGGATTTTGTATTTATTGGCAAGATCCCAAGGAGAGTGAAAAAGGGGAAACAAAGACAATGTAATGACAGAATTCTCATTTTAAAGATTTTTCTCATTCCTGTAGTAGTGCAATAGGTATTTTTCTTGATCAGGTAATACGGCAGAACTTATGTAAGTCAGTTTTCTCAAATTACTTTCCATTGATTTAAATTACTGATAGAAAATAAAAGGAAACATTTTTTAAATGAAACTAACTTTCCAGATTACCCTACAGTTTCAAAGTTTGCAAATTAATTTTTGAATTGCAAACTATATTCTTAATTCTTTGTAAGATACAATGGATCCTTTATCTATGAATTTTGCTAATCAAGGTAATGCTTCTCTGTACGATCAGTAACTTTTTAAACAAAACTTAAATGCATGTAAGTACATTGTATTTATAACTGCTAGGGAAAATGCTTTTTTGTGCCAAAGAAGTTTCATAAATTGTTTACATGAGTAGCTGCAATACAAGACAGATTTTTAATTACTGCTTACTCTTAGGTGTTTACAGTACATCACTACACTCTGTACGGTTTTCGTTGGTTTGCCTCTTGTTATGGTACCTTGGCACTACTACTACAATCTGGTCATCTTAGGCTGGGCTTGAAAGAAAGGATTCATTCTGATCTTCACTAAAACTCCAGGAAATGTTTCGCCTTTGTAAGTACGAGGCTCTGCACCTCTGGGACTCTGGAATCCACTGTTGGATTTAGCTGGAGGGGGTTCAAGATACAGCTCCTCAAGTTTCTGGCCCACAGTGCTGGAGGTCACTGCATCCATGGCAGGGTGAACAACTACTGATGCTATTTGAATGCAGATTTTTAAAGCAGCTTAGCAAAATGCACCAGACCTTGTCTTTCAAGCCCTCATGTACCCACACAGTTAATTTCTCTGTAATAAACTCTGACCATTAAATCCGTCCACACACTGTCAGAATATCATGTAACTTCATGTAACTTTTTTTTTATTTTTCTATCACATTAAGCACCTGTTCTCTCATGGCAGTTGAGTAACAGTATTAAATACTAATTTGTAAATTAGAGGTGCATTTTTACTACAAATACAGTGAAGGAATCTGGATTCCACGAGTTAACATTCTACATCAAGGTATGGTGATTTAATCGGTCTTGTTTGCTGTTGAACACTTCTACCACTGCATCAGTATTTCGGAGGGGTCTATAATCATGATCTTCAGTCATGTTCGCTGATGGCTCTTTTCTTGGAGCTACTGGTGTGAAATTCATGTCTCATTTAACTGATGTCTTTTATGTAGTCTGACACCGCTGTGAGTTTCTGGGTGTCACTTTGTGCATGGGAAATCAGTCATGTGTGTCTTTCTCAGTTCTAAACATTAATCATTTTTCCAAAAAAATTGAAAAGAATGCCAAAACTGTATGTTTTGTTGCCTTGACATTCCATAAATGTTGCATGTAAATTAAATGTTTTGTATCATCGCTAATTAAAAGGTGTCTCTGTTTTAATCATACAGGATACAATAAGACCAGACAGGAGACTGTTTTTGTTGCTGTATTTCATTCAATGTGGTTCAAAATCTGCTGTTACTACTTTATTTCTCTTGGGCCTTATTTTGAATTTCTAGTGTAAAATTACTTTGAAAAACCACAATGGGGGAACAGTGTCAAGTACCTTCTCTGGCAGTACCTCTTGCCTGCACCGTATGCTGTTACTTTGTACCTAATGTCCTTACAACTGGAGCGTTTTTCAGTGCGTAATGGATTTTCCCCAAGGCCAAACATGCTGGGATACCTTCTTCACAGTAGAAGAGGACGGAAGTCCATTTCGTGGGTGAAGCACAGCCAAAAGTTGGTGTCTTAATGACTTGACTACTGAGTTGCATTTTTACCAGCACACCCCCTTATTGAAATACACCAAAAAATAAATAAAATTAAACCACTTCATTAAAAATGCATGAAAGAAGGGATGTAGTGAGGGTAGTTAAAAATAAGGTAAAAAAAAGAAATCATACAGAGGAAGCTCTGATTGAGTAAGTGCAGTGCCTATGGGCAGGGGAGATGCTGCAGCTGCTCATACCACGTGTGCGCAGCACAGCACAGCAGGCAGTGGGTGCATCTGCAGTAGTGCCATAAATGTACTCTTGTCTTCAGATGGATACACTGGTTTATATGGAAGACTATTTTATAGTATGCACTTACACAAAATATACAGCTGCAAGAAACAAACATGCACAAAATTAAACTTGTATTAAGTGAGAATAAATAAGCCTTTATTAAATTAATTCTATATCAACCTCCTTATGGAGGAATAATCGTACAATTGGGAGACTAAAACATTTTCTAAATGTAATTTTAAATACCCAACAAAAATGTTTAGTCACACTGAAAATTAACGTGGTGGCAGTGGTTATTCATTGATCTGTCTGGCCTCAATTTTTCCCCTTTTTTATCACTGAAGAACACAGCACCACTTAAAAAAAATATATTCATTTCTTTTTTTCTCTCCCTAACTGCAAGAGAAGTCACAAAATCTTCAATGATAGTTTAAGGGTCATGTGTATTTTCTTAGTCTTAAGAAGACAGAGAATGTGGATTTATCCTTTGTGAAACATTTAAAAATTAAGCTATTTAGTGACTGAAGTACTTAGTTACCAAATGCAATGGCAGAAATTCACTGGGAAATCTGAAAAATGCCTTGACAGGTTCAAATATGGTACAGTCTATTTCACTGTGTATTTTGACTGCACGCAGTCAGATGAAGGAGAATTAAGGATGTTGGTTCATTTTTTCATTTAAATGAGAGAAGAAGGACTTCCCATATTCATATGTGCTGATCATTATAGCACAAGCAGGAGCAACTTTAAACAGCCGTGGAGTAACACCTGCCCAGAAGAGAAAGGAAAGTATTCACTATCATTTCTTCTCAGACTGAAGCGCTGTAGTACCATTTAGTGGTCACAATATATTGATACCACAGTATATCAGTGAAGAACTGGGATTCTGCCTATCCAAAATACCGAAATTACTGGCTGTAGGTATTACCACTGTAATAACCTTATGTGCTCACCTGTGCCATTCTGTGGGGCCACCTGCCTCAAGGACATTGTGTCTCCAGAGGTGGAGCACCTTGACCTGTGGGGCTACTTTATTCAATTGCTCAAGAGAACAGCTCTATGCTCCATTACTCACATGTCAAGACCAAATGTAGGTATTCTAACCTATGAACTACATTCCAACCAAAATATCTAACAATATTGATGTTTTGTGGTGTCTTGCATTCTGCTGGCATCATTGCTCTGAAACACGCAAATTCTGTTACCCAGCTATGTCATCACTCTGCAGCAAGTAAAGCAATTTAATCTTTTTCAGTGAACACAAAAAGGCTTGCAAGTCTTCAACCAACTGTGCAGCCATTCATACAAGGAACCCTAATGAACCACTGCAGTGCTGTCATGACTGGTAAGTATCCTGGGTTTGGAATGTCTCATGCAGTTGTTCATTTAAGCATGAACTACTATAGGCTTTTATCTCAATCTCACTTGTGTCTCAAAATCTTTTCATTTCTTCCTTAGGCTGCCAGGGTCACACATGACAACACCTGTGAATGACAAAGGACTTCTTTGTATGGCAACAACAGAGTATTGCCCCAGCCCTTCAACAGAACAGGACCACAGCAGCCTCATCTGCCAGGTAGACTTGCTGAGGACAGAAACACATGGGAATCTCTTCTCCTAAAGGCTGGGAGAAGGGCATGGGGGGAGCTGAACCACAATGTCAGGGAAAAAATCAAGCTTAGGGAGATGAGCATTCTGAGGTGAACACACAGGAAGTAAAGAGCATTTTGTAACTTTGAGCATTTTATATACATTCCAGTTGCCATACATAGAAAGGAGGATATTCCAAAGCAAAACACTTTAAAAATGGTTTAAAAAGTGATACTGTATTAGTCTGGTGATAGCTAGTAAATTATTGATAGAACTACTTGAACACACATATTCAGCAAAGGCAAAGTTTCACCCCCAGGTAAAGATTTGCTTTTGTTTAATGAATGGTAGCAGTTATTCACAAAAAGATATGAACCAGTAATTAGAATTCTTGAACATTCACACTGTGAATATCCATTTCCACTGTCATGTGAGTGAGGCTGGAGACTCCCATTCTCTCAGTTCCTGTCGCATGTGGCAGCAGTCCCAGACTGCCTTTGTGCATACTCAGGCACAGGGAGTGGGAAAGGCCTAGCACCACCTGAGGTTCCTCTTAATTCCCACTTGGCCACAATACAGGAAAGGGAGAGAAGGTAGATAGTGAGTGCACTTGTGGATGACAGGTCTCAAAGAAGTCTGTTAGGTGATAATCACAGCAGAGCATACAGTGCACTCCCAAAATGTAACACAGCAACCTCCATATTGATATTTACTTGGATACAAATCATGGACGAGCAGTGTGAAACAAAACTTACAAGCATTCACCATGAAATGTATTTCTTTGAATGGTGGAAGAATATTTAGTTATAGGTACAGGTATAATCACTTGTTACTGATTTAAAACTTTCTCTCTAGTCTGAGGGGTTTTTTAGAAAGATATCAAAAGATTTACCAGCAAATAATCCAGCAATCCCGTTTTTAGCAACAATTTTCCTCATAACTGCACAGGTTGATATACAGTCCCTCTGTGGAACTTAATACAGTACAAGAAAACAGTGAATTAAGCGATATATATACAATGTCACTGAAAAATATTTTTAGAAATCAGAGACAGTCACTTCAGATGTAATTATTAAGTTTAATTAATTTTATCTAAGTATTATCCATACTATTTATACAGGATGTTAAAGTCACACAGTACTGAAGTTAAAATAGCATTGTCTCTGCCTATTTCAGTGGGGTTGGACTACATGATCTTTAAGGTCCCTTCCAACCCAATACACTCTATGAGTCTATGATGCTATGACTTGGAAAAACCTGGAGTAACACCTGGAGTAAGATACATGAACAGAGACAATATTCGTTACTAGAGTAACTGATTAGTTGAAAAAAGTCATTGAGCTTTCAAATGACTCAGTTTCTCTCCATGTCACTTTATAGGTGCAGCTAAAAGATCATCACAACTCAGATTTTTAACCAAGAACTTGCCTTTATGGTAAACTGAGAATCGATATCGTAAGAATGAATCATAGGAATTAATAGAATAATTAAGCTAGGACACTACACCTTATGACTAAGTTTACAAAAATCAAGCTCCCCCTAAATTTGTAAGTTAGTTTAAGAAAGTACAGATCTATGAGATGTATACTGCAGTCCCTTGTAGATCTACATCACATACCATAAGCAACTTAACTGCAGCAGCATCAAGAAGCAATCTGCATTGCAGATATATGCAACTGTTTCAGACAGAGGACATTTTTTGTACTATTTCACTCTGCACATGTCGTTTTCATTGATCTATAATATGAAATTATTTTCTAGGTAAAAATTAAAACACTTTCATAATATACATTCAACAGGAACATCCCACAGCATCTGGAAGCTGCAAAATATTTTTGCAGCCACAGAGAGACAATGTGTAGATATGTAGTCAGTGTTCAACCCTAACAGCAACTGCATTTGGAAAGAATTAAACTATCAGCCTAATAAATATATGGTGGCTACCTCTGATTCAAAGTGGTGTTAGCAATAAATTCTTACATTCATCAGCTCAAGGGAGAAATTGAAGGAACTGAAACACAGTAACTATTTATATTCAAAGCTTTTTTGATCTTTGTTCTGCCATGACACATAAATATGTTTTCTCAAGAATTCTACCAGAAAAATATAATTTACCTTATTAAGAATGAAACCTTACGCCAAAAAGTGAGCACTATGTTTTCATAACATCGTTCTGAACTACGGCCTTCAAATTAGTTTCCAAACAGAAACTGTCTGGGTACTCAGCCTTTTTACTGGTCTGTAGTCTTAAAGCCACGATCTAACATTTAAGTTAATGAAAGTCCCTCACTGGTCCAGGTCCTAAGCAATAAAAAAAGTTTTTATATACAACTTATATTTGTATAAAACACAGCAGTGCTCTACTGAACACAGAACAAACTTTCATCCTGTGAACAGAACACAGAACTCTTTCATCCTTTAAAGCTGTTAGGATATTCATAATAGACCCTCAAAAATAATATCTTTGAAATCACACAAAAATAAAATAAAAAAATACACAACCTGAGCACAGTGCTTTCTCTCTCTAGTCTAATATTTAACAAAAGAAGAATATCATTATGAAGGAGCAAGTGGTAGTGAATGCACAAACATTTGTAATGTTGTTTTTTATGAACTCGGAAGTCTTTTTGAATAGATCACTGTTCACCTGAATATTTTAGAAGAAATTGAAATTTTGCCTATTTACATATAATTTATTTAAAGGTGTACAAATTTGCAATTGGTCTGCCTAGATGTAACAGCACTACATTTTTGTTCATATTTTATACCATCTTATTAACCTAAACAGTGCTGCACTCACACCTTTTCCCCCCTCCATGCTATTAATGAAATATTATATTTATCATAGGAGATAAAAAATATCCTATGATATGTTACAATTTGGAAAAGAAAAAAAGACCTTAGTGATAGAATTTTTAGATAAACTTTAGAAAGAAAGACAAATATTTAAAATGCCTACCAAAAGTCTACATACTTGAACATTATGTTTTATTTTTCCAAACATTATGGGTTTGGCTTTTTCTTCTTACCAGGAACTTACTTTTTAAGGTCTTGCTCTCCCAAAGTTCAGTCTGCCTATATGTTTTCACTACATCAAATGGCTGAGTTATGACAGCTGCAATCTATCAGGAAAAGAGTTTTATGTTAGAACACAAACAATTAAAATTTTATTAAAATTTTTAAAGTGCATACAATTCAAAACTAGACATGATATTCCAAGTGCCTGATATTATTAAAGTCTCGTATTTCAGAACACTGTAATTTATTCACATATACCTAATACAGTTTGAATGCCAAGCCATGTGTGTTTTTGTACACACACCCCAAAACATACATCATTCCGGAGAGAATCATGTAAAATCATACATGTTTTAAATGGTTTATTAGTGATAATAATAAAGAGTAGTATTAGAAACAAAAATTTACACTTACAGTGCCAGATGCTGCTCCTGAAGTAAAAGCAATAAAAAGTGTTGGTTCATGTGCACCAAGCTCCTTACACATCATCCTCTTGAAACGTTCATAATTATACCAGTATGTTGCTATGGTTTAAAAAAAGATAAGCTTGCATTACAACAAATTCACATATCAAATACAGAAATCCTCTTATCAAGTACAGATGTAAAATTTCTATTTTGGCAACAGGAACAAAAAGAAACAAGAGCTGAAAGCAAAGTAAAAGTGTTCTGATAAAAGTGTGATGATCCATGGACAGCCTGCCTTGTTGCCCTTATCTCCATATTCTAAATCTCTTCATATGGTACAAATTAGCCTAAGAATTTTGTAATTCCCATAAAGTAACTCCTACCTTAATATCATCTAGCCCAAGCACTACAAAATTCATATAACAGGGTTTTTTTAAAATTAAATTTAGCACAAATTAAAATGTAGGCTTCTAATTATTTGCTACGTTTTCAGGCATATTTCACACACTTCATAGATCTCACTAATTCTATACAAACGTGTTATATATAAAATCAAAGGTTGCTCAGGACTGCCTCTACTCTTCTGGGACACAGTGTAAAATTTAATTCTCAGAGAACTAAGACGTACAATTTCACTCTCTGGAATTACTAAGCGGGGAATTGCTCTGTGAGGACTTTTGTCTGCTGAACTAAACTGCACTCTTCCTGCAGTCTAACTAAACTCTTTAAACTGTACGCTACTGGGCTGAATTATAGGGTTACTCCTTGCAGCAGTTGGTCAAGTAAATACTGCAAATGACGGCTGGATATCCTGAAAGATAACGGCGCCTCATTCAGCACTGAGTTCTGGAGGTTGTGCCAGCAGAGAAATATCAAAGTATTTTCTTGCTGTGGAGACAGCCAGCACATGCATCTCAGAAGGCATTTTCGAGGTTTGAGGAAAACCTACTGTTGAACTGTATCAAACCCTAATTTATATTAAATTATCTAAATCAAGGACTTTGCTTAAGGACTTGCAGGAATCCTTCCCCTTCTCCTTGCCCTCTACTCTGTGCTGGTGAGATCACATCTGTACGGCGATTGAGAGACGGGACGCAGCTTGATGCAACCAAAATGTCGGTTTATTGTGTGCAGTGACTTCCTTATATACGTTTACATGGGCTGCGTATTTTAAACTGATTGGTTCATTTGCGCGCGGCTGCATTTGATTGGTCAGTGATGCACTGTTACACTAACAAACACCTCTTGCCTTTCAGGCAGAGCCCCTGATGGCTTTCTCAGCAGGGTGCCTGGAACTTGCTTTTCTCAGGGTTGAAATACCTGTTTTTCCAGTCCTTGTTTACCCCTTTTATGGTCATGACTTAAGCAGCACTCAGGGTCCTGCTCCCCAGGCCCTGTCCTACACATCTGGAATACTATGTTCAGTTCTGAGCCCCTCAGTTCAAGAAGGACAGGGAATTCCTTGAAAGAGTCCAGTGCAGAGCCACAAAGATGATGGAGGGAGTGGAGCATCTCCCTTATGAGAAGCAGCTGAGGGAGCTGGGTCTCTTTAGCTTGGAGAAGAGGAGACTGAGGGGTGACCTCATTAATGTTTATAAATTTGTAAAGGGCGAGTGTCAGGAGGAAGGAGCCAGACTCTTCTCTCTGATGTCCAATGACAGGACAAGGGCCAATGGGTGCAAGCTGGAGCACAGGAGGTTCAACCTGAACATGAGGAAAAACTTTTTTACTGTAAGGGTGACGGAGCACTGGACCAGGCTGCCCAGAGAGGTTGTGGAGTCTCCTTCTCTGGAGACATTCAAAACCCGCCTGGACGCATTCCTGTGTGACCTGGTCTAGGTGATCCTGCTCTGGCAGGGGGGTTGGACTGGATGATCTTTCGAGGTCCCTTCCAACTCCTAATGCTTTGCTGTTTGACTGTTTGCACAGAGGAGCTGCTTTCTAAATACAAATTGGTTCACTGATTTTAATTGCTCTTGGAAGAGCTAACTTGAGCTAACTGCAGCTGTTGGGACATCATTCAAACAGAAGAGCTAAGATTGCAGGTATTAAGGGAGCATATGTTAACTGCATAGAGTATTTATAAGGAAAAAAAATCAGAAAACACATTTGGAAAAGGCATTAAGCAGCATTAAACACCCTTAGCTTTATATAATCAGAGTTCTGTGGCATCTAATTTTGAGGGTTTTTTAAGAATACATTTTCCTTTACTCATACATCTACCTGCCTTCTCAAATCTGGCTCTTTAACAGTAGTCCTTAACCTATAAAGCAGTAGCTGCCTGTTAACCTGTGCCTCTACCTTTCCAGCACCCCATGATGCCTACAAAGTACTGGGCACAGAAAAATGTCCGCTGGCTGTGAAGTGAATGCCAGAGCGGTGCGAAGACTGACTTAAAATCAACGAGGATGTTTTGGACCGGTGGTGGAACAGCAGGCATGGATACAAGAATCTGAAAAGGGCTGAGAAGAACACACGCACATCACCTTAGTGCCCTCTTCCCCGTGCACTCCTTCACAGTCCTCTGATCTTCCCACTCTGTTAAAAGCAGCAGAGTGAAGGAAGATTCCTAGCTCCTGTTACATTGCTACAGACTAAAATCAGTAGGATAGTAAGAGTTTACTCTTGAAGTCAGACAACAGAAATTAGATGAAGAATTTTAGAGTTCCCTTACAAAGCTTCACAGAACAGCCTAAGAGAAAGATACTTTGGGCAGAGAAAAAAATAAGTAAATTAAAAATCAATATTCAACAGGAAACACTTTGGGCAAAAGGTTCAGATGAATTCTGACAGTTATCTTTAGCCTTAGAGAAGGCATGTTTCCATAGGTTCAGAAGCTTTCCCTATCACAGAAGGCTAAATTAAGTCCTATCAATTAATAGGATCCTTAAGCAGGAAATACAATCCAACCACAATGTTCAAACACCCAACAAAGTGAAAGAAATCAGAGTATTATTCTTTCTGAAATGAAAATGGCTGAAATAACTTAGTTCTGTTAACTCAACTGCTAAGCGCAATTTTTAAGGAAATATCCTAATCACCCCCACTTACCGTGCATTGGTTTGGTTCACAGCAAATTTACAATGTGCTCCAGGTGCACATCTAAATATGTTCAAATCCCATAAAAGTCCAAACCAATGACTGGTCACTAGACTGGATCCACAACTTAAATTAGATATCAGATTATCCTAAGAATGAAGTAGAACAAAGATAGTGGGTCAAATTCTCCACCTTCCAAAAATAGGCTTGAAGCATTTTTCTGGGCAAACACAAGGTGTTCAAAGGTGTTACTACTGATACTACCCAAAGGACATAAACTGCTTCAAGGACAATTGATGCCTGATGATCCATGAGTGATTTGACAAAAATGGGCCTCAGAGAGACAGGGGCTTTCACCACTGTTATTAACAAGTCCTTCAGCAGTCTCCGCTGTAGGTGATGACTTAGCAGAGCTGTGACAAAAAGAGAACTCTGTCCCAGTTCTCTTAAGGAATAGTCCTAGGACAAGCTATGCTCTGTATCAGACTTTTCTTCTAGACTTTCAGCTTTGGAGCTTTGCTAACAAGTGGTTCTGTAGCTTCATGGTTTTTTGGAGCAGTTACACAAACTAATTTGTCATGCTAACAAAAATTCCTGAAGATGCTACTGTGTGACTCTCTCTTTGTACATGTTTTCAAAATTAAGCACTCAGATACAGCATGTTTCTCTATAAGGAAATAGGCACTATACCTATCACAGAGAAAATTTCCTACTGTAAGTCTTCAAAAACAGTCATTGCATAAGCTAAAGATGAGAAGAAAGAGTCAAAGAATAGAGAAAGGGAATGTAACAATGAACTCTAGCTGATATCCACAAACAAAATAGGAAAAATAAAAAGGTCCTCAAAGAATTTATAAATAAAAACACTCAAAAGAGAACAAGTAAATCTCAGTCATTCCTAAAGCTAACCATTAAAACTACCTAAAATCACAGAAAAAGTCTAGAAGAGTTATGCATAAACAGATCTCCTGACATAACACAAACTTGCACAGAACATGAACCCTACCCGAGAAAGGCACATCTCTCAGAACAGTAGAACTCCAGCCCCTCCACAGGGAAAACCACCCGTCTGCAGCCACTTTATTGCTGATACATGTGTACAGTTGCTTGTAGGACAACCTGCGATACTGCATACTAGTATTGATCAGCTCCAGGGGGTTCACTACAGAAACTGTACCAACTGAAGGGAGAAAAATAAGGGCTTTTTTTAAAATCAACATTTACTATTAATCTTTCCTGAACATTCAACTCAGGTCTCACCTTGCTTTATATATTTGATTCCTTTCAACTGTCCCATTTACCTTGAGATATTTCCCAAAATAAGTTTCCTTTCCAGGTGGGACTTTGAGCAACCTGGTGCAGTGGGAGGTGTCCCTGCCCATGGCAGGGGGGGTTGGACCAGATGATCTTTAAGGTCCCTTCCAACCCAAACCATTCTATGATTCTATGATATCTAGCCATAGTACCTAAACTTTCTGGGCATACAAGCTACCTACCTTTTTTCACTACTAGCATGTTGTAATCCATATAACATGTGAAGAATCATCACTTTCAGATTTATTACATAAATAGGCTGACAATTTCAAGTACTTATAAATATTAATTTTGGACAAAAATGATGGCTAGAGATTAAGTTTTTATTGATTTCTAAGCATCGTTGCCATTTTATTTTAAACTATCAAGAATATTTAGCAGGCAATATGTATCTGATAAAGTAACTCTCTTGCATCTCACGGAAAGATCAGTGAGTCACCGCTCACTAACAAGCTCCCATCACACATGTAACAGACTTAAATGATTTTACTAGATTGAAGAACTCCTGTTGCTGGGATAAGGTTTCTTTGACATGTCACCACAGAATAACAATTCTTTTTCCACTAGTCTTCCAGTCCTCCTCATAGTTTTCACAAGTAGAATATGGAACTACTTCCTCAAGAGTCTTCTAAGAAAGCCCAAAAATACATGACCTGAGCTACTTCTACAAAAACAGATGAGGAAAAGGATAAAAACAAATTCAGTCCCCTTTATGTCATTCAGCAGTAAAACCATTCAAATTTTAATTTTCCTTGTAATCACCTGTGTAGTTTCCATTATAGACAAGAATGTTTATTAGATTTACAACAAAACAGACTTAAATTAAACTGTCCTTGTTAGAAGTCTAGAAATATAAAATTTTGAACAAATTACACATGTAGTGAAAATGTAACAGCAAAAATAAATCACGTTATTCCAAGTTAGAGGGTGACATTGCCCAAGAAATATTAGGTAATTACAGTATTCGTTTCGTATGCCCAGCTACATGTAATATTATCCCTCATGTAAAGTCACAGCAAATTTACTTAAAAAAACAAAACAAAACAACAAAACCAAGAAAACAGCATACAGGTATTTTATTTCAGTTTTATCTTTAAACAGACGACAACTTACATCTGCTTAAGCAACCTGCAATAATTGGAATGTGTTCCTCATCCTTTCCTACTCTAGATTTCAGAGCTTCACTCAGTTGGTCATAGCAGGTAAAACAGATTACTGTGGTAGGAAGTGCCATTATTCTAAAATATAAGAGAGGGAATCTAAATTAATACAAGCAAAGCAGGAGCATAAAGTCAACCATCTTGTATGGATATTTTGCTTAAATATGAAAAAGTTTTATCTCCAGCTGTGTTTATGGATGAAGAAAAAGCTTTAATCCCATGACTTTGATTTACTGCCTCTAGCTCAGAGTTTCAAATCCACAGTTTTCTCAGTTTTCCATTTCATTAGAAAAAGCTTTAAGTAAAATTATGGTGGACTAGCTCACCCAAAATTTATTTCATATCAGCTTCAGAAGTATATTGATAAAGGAATGGAATTGAAAGATCTCAACATGAAACAATCAAACAAAAGATGGAAATAGCTACTAACCTTAAATTTTTATTCATTTAACACTTGGGGAGTATTTTCTCAATCTTAATCAACACGATTCTCACTACTTGAAAGACAATGTGGGATGAGTAAATATAAGCTTTTTCCATTCCAGCATAGTACAGACTATAAAAACAAATGCTAGATCTTATAATCATTAGGTGTAGGGGTAAAGCACCCTATCTTACTATACAATGGCAATTATATTCCTTTGTTATGTCTGAGCCAGTAAAGCAGGTACCACCATTACCGTAAAACAGGGAAGACTGTCAAGCTTGGAAAACTAACGAGCCATAGTTTAGACCTTCTAAAAACTGCGTACATCTCTCCAATCAAGAGGCTAGTTCTTTCCTCTGCTGGAGTACAGAACATGTGTTGAAGAAAAAAAGCTGTCTTACATGAAATACAGACCTCTCAGTTCAGTTAGGTCCTAAGGGCTTATATATTGAAATTGCCACACGCAGCAGGATAAATAACAAGGCCTGAGCTCCACCATGCTTTGCTTTTTTGTGCCTATATACTGAGCACTGTGTGCAAATCAAACGTGTACCAGTGCTTTCCCACTGGGCAACACTTAGTGTCTTACATGATACGACTTTAATATACATGTTAAATTTGAACACTTTCTTGGATTGTTTATGGAGGAAGACATACGGTCTTAATTACTATAGGTAACAGTTTAATATGAATAAAAAGGTAAAACAATTTGGTGCTATTTAGCCTAAAGAGAAGACCAGGAGATCTGATAACAGTGTTTAAATATGTGAATTGTCCTTGTAGAGAGAAAATGAATGATCTGTTTTCCATAACAAAGTTGGCTAGGATAAAAACCAATTAAGTTTTTTGGAATAAAGAAGATTTTAGTTAGATGTCTACAAAAAATTAAGTAAGGGTAATGAGGTACAATACTAGACTGTCTGTGGAAACAGCTGTGTTGCTTATTGCACGTCATTAATAATAAGCTAGGACAGCAAATATCTATCAAAGAAGAGAATTTTCTAACAACCACGTTCGAGCCTATGATTCGATGATGCTATCAAGGGGATGATTACAGTAAGGATACCACCTCTAAAAGGCAGAATAGAAAGTCTGATGTTCCTGCTAAAGTACTGAGAATATATCACAGAAGTTGCAAGGAGAAATCTCAAGATCTGGCAAAAGTTACAGTGTCTCTAGATGTTTCTGTTTGAACTGATTACATCATTATCTGTAACTTTAGAATTTACCAGATTTTTTAAATCACTTAGAAATAAACATACTAATTAGTCTAAATAATGAAGTATTTTTTTAACGATAATTCATAACATGTTACCACAAAAAACCCCAACCATTCAACATACAGTGTTGGAGGAAGTCCACTCCACAGTGATTTAATTCCCTCTGTTTGAATAAGTTTCACAAATGCATCCTGAATATACAACCAGTCAAAGAACAATAATTAGCTACAAACTTTTGTACCCAGTAATATATTTTAGCTACAAAATTAATGTACTAAAACATATGTTTCTAGATGTCTTAACATTGCAAGATCCCAATTCTGTAATTGCTTACGCTGTCATATTTAATCACACAAATATTTCCACTGAAGTGAAAAGAAGAATTTGTGACAGAAATTAATAATTTCCTTCCATCTTTAAAAGACCAAAGTAATAAGTTTTTATCAGTAACTGACAGCCCTGTGAATAAGTTATTTTCAGAACTAATATTTCCAGAAATATTTTCAGACAGCAGTAATAGGAGAGCAGTAACTAGTGAAAACTTCCCCAAAATAATCCACTAAAATACTTTTTAATACACAATAAAAGTTCTAGGTGTGCAATTAACTCCCAATGATTCTTCAATACTTGCTTTCTCTGGCAACAATGTAACAACATACGTGCAATTGGAAGCTTACAATTAATATCACAGTTGTCTCATATATTCCCAGACCAATAACAGCAGAGGAACACTAAACCTTGAAGATCATTCAACTGAAATCATCGTCAAAAAGACAAACTCCCTAATATAAGGATACCTAATTTTCTTAAATCATTTGGGGGAATGGATTGGGATTTGAATGATTAGAGTATGCTTAACACCAGACATTATCACAGGGCCTCAAAAGATACAGAGCCTGACAAACCACAAAAAGGACTCACAGGAAGAAAAGGGCAAATAGCTTTAGAGTGGACAGCCTTTATGGACTGATCCACTGAGGTAACAAGTTCAATGGAGAAAAAAAAAGACACAACTTATTAAAACAAGCCTGTCCTGAAAAAAAATGGAGCTCTGAGAGGGAGTCAAGAAACTCTAAAAGGTCCTAACAGGATCTGACAAAAAAAGACACTTCTGAGGGGAAAAAAAAATACAGTAAATGGCATACTAGTATTTTATGTTTTCTCCAGATATATTCTGTACTAGTTAGTTCGTATGTTTATAATCCAGATTAAACAAATTTACAATACAAGAAGGTATAGATAAAGGAGAAAGGACAAATGTAAATCCAATGACTGAGCAGCATATTTATATACCTTACTAACTAGATGGGCAAATACAGCAAAACATTTGTACAGTTCTATCACTGGAAACCTACCATGGCCACTGCAGTTTTCTTTACTGTACAGTTGTCCAGCACTGGGTTTTTTTAAAAAGAGAAAGTAGGTCCAATGATATGATAGTAATTCTTCTTTATGAATCACTTTGTCACAGAAAAATGAGCATAAAATCATGTCAAGTAGAAAACTAAGTGACTTTCTAAAAACTATATGGTAAAGTTAATTGAAAAATTCAAACTTATGAAGCTATCTTTTAAAAAATAACACTACTCAACATTCCATTCTTCTCAGAAATTTAATTCTGCAAATCCTTTATCACATGTGTAATTTAATGGTAGAGTCAAACAAAATCTGGATTAATGAAGCAGCATCACAGTGTCCCGCAGCAAATCTGCTTCAAATGTCTGGGTAAAATGCAAGTCCTACAAGTTTCAGTGGATCCAGAACTTGACACATGAACTTAACTTTCAAACGTTATCTGCATTGTTAGTGCAACTCAGGAGCATACTGGGAGGTGTGCAGGCAGAAGAGCTGCAAGCAGGTACAGGAAATCAGTACCTGCAATCAGCAGCTATTGACAATATAGCTCAGGTGGGGAAAATCAAATCATAGAGTCAGTATCCTGTGAAGAGAGCTGTGCAGCTGCCCCCTTGTTCATCTTAAGGAAGGAATAGGTATTTTCTTGTAGAAAGCATTAATTATCATTACCACATAAATTACACAGTGTAACCTTACAATCACCCTCTCAAATGATAACGGAACTAGAACTTGGAAAAAAGGAGTTACTAAAAGGAAACAGAAGTCATTTAGAATCATAGTAAACACCCTGCACACCTTGAAAATGTAGAAGCGTACAGACACCTTACCATGAACTTCTACAGCCCTTTTTCCCCCCCCCCCAGAGGGGAAAATGTTTACAATGTTATCAGACAGGAAAAAAGGAGAACTACAAATCCTGCATGGTTTGCAAGTGACTGTATGTATATTTTCTATTTTACTAGCAGCTGTACAGACAACAAATATTAGAGATACACAAAAACCATGGTGTGATCTTCTCTGAAAGTGCTAAAACTTCATAGAATTGAATCACAGAATCATTTAGGTGGGAAAAGACCTTTAAGATCATCGAGTCCAACCATCAACCTGGCACTGACAGGTCTACCTCTAAACCATGTCCCTAAGCACCACATCTTCATGTCTTTTAAATACCTCCAGGGATGGTGACTCCACCACTTCCCTGTGCAGCCTGTTCCAGTGCTTGACAACCCTTTCAGTGAAGAAACAATAGAAACATTTCTTATTGCCTTTTACAGCAGTAGCCAGATTAAGTACCAGTTGGACTCTGGCCCTTCTAATTTACTCCCTGCATAACCTCATGGGATCCCTGTAGTCCTCCTGAGCTACCTGCCCCTTCTTCCAAAGGTCATAAACTCTTCTTTTTTTCCTGACTTCCAGTTGGAGTCCCCATGAGAACAAGGGCTAATGATTGTGCAACTTCTCCCAGTTGCTTATAGAATATTTCATCTGCCTTTTCGCCCTAGTTGGGTCGTCTATAACAGACTCTCACCATGATATCTGCCTTGTTGGCCTTCCCCCTGATTGCTACCCATAAACACTCAACCTTATCATCACCATCATTAAGCTCTAGACAATCATTAAGCTTCAGACAATCAAAATACTCCCTTAACATACCCCACCATCTCTCCTTCCTTGCCTATCCCTTCTGAAGAGTTTATAGCCATCCATTGCAGCACTCTGGTTGCGTGAGTCATCCCACTAAGTTTCCATGATGGAATTCCACAGGTCTGATGTAGCTTTGCTTGCTATTTTAACTACCATCACAGGCCACATGGTAGAAAGACAGACTAGAAAGACTACGAATTTGACAGGTTTTTTGTGAGATCCTATTTTGTAAAAATTTGGAAATATTGTGGTGGAAAAATATTGCTTAGAAAATTGCACATTTACCTGCAGCATAATCAGCGTTAAATGTCAGAACCAAAGGCTAGCTTATGCCAGAAAGTAACTGAAAGAGGAAGTGAAGCTAATGAGCTTGGAGACCTCCAAGGGATATGAAGTGCTGAATCTAACCAAGGCCTCCTTGGATATGCATGGAGAAGCAGGTCCTGAGTGAGACAACTGAATATGAAGCAGAAGATGAATTTCACAGACTCTCCAGAAGTTTAAAAGCCTAATAAAAAGCTATCCTTAAAAGCAATGTTTAGGAATACCACCGCCACGTCACACACCCCTCCCCCTCAATACGAGGCTTTGACAGTGTAGAACGGCACTGCAGAATAAATTAATGTTACTACTGAAGTGGTAACATGAAGGGGACATCACACAGTGGACAGCCTTGCAGGATTTGTGTCTTTTAAAGTAGACTTTTATTTAAAATCCGTTTTTAAGCGGCAGGAAGTATGAAAATTAATTTTTATTATTAATTTTGTTTCTTGTAGAAAGCAAGCAATGAATTACTACACCCAGAGAAAAAAAAAGACATAGAAATGAAAAGTCAATAAAAATTATTCTTATTTTCAAAAATGGTTAAAGATTTTGAGGGACAAGAAAGATTTCATTTACTCACATTTGTTAAAATACAAAAAATACTAGAAAACTATTCAAAAATATCCTTGTTGAACATACTAGTGGAACTTTATAAACCATATAAATGCAGACATCATGCTGAGTCAAACTGAAGAGTAATCACTTCGCAAAGATTCTCTCTGTGGCAAGCTTGATCCTTTGCCTTACCAAGATGTATTATAGCTCCACAACAAGAGGCTATTGCTTGCTGAATAATGGTTGTGTTATCTAAGTTGTTAACACTCATTTCAGCCATGGCTTTATTCCCAGAGAAGAAAAACCTGTTGAGGAACAGAAAAACATATTGCAAGACTATGGTCAAAACTTGCACAAAGATCAAAGGAAAAAATATTTTTAATTTTCATTAATACATTAGGTATAAGCAGCAATAATGTCAATTTTAGTTTTCTACTTGTATATAAGGATCTCCATAATTTATTGAAATTTGAGTATTTGTGCCGTGTTTTAGAAATAATCTAAATTTTCTAAATTACAACAAATCTTTCAAATCCTTCTTACATCAATTATGCTTGTAATTTTTGTAAACCACATTAAATATTTAATACATATTACCTCATGCTGCAACAAAGGGTTTGGGAGCATGTAAATAATCTGTACAAAGATAAACTCCCAGCCTGCGGTCCACAAACTGTAGCACAGCAGAATAATTCATCTAGTCCTCCTCTTGCTTCCGTCACTCCTGTGAGAAAATCCAGATGTCTCCTGGTTGATCCAACAGTCACAGCCTACAGTGACAGCTCTATACTCTGGCAAGGTCCTTATGTAATAAACAGTCACTGACAAGTATTAACACTACCATTAAATACTAATTCCTTGAACAAATCCTGCTGTATAGCTGCAAAGGCAAGGTTACTATACCTTAGGAATGTAGTCATGGTATCTAAAAATAAGGAGCTTATATATTCCCAGTATCTGCAACTAGCAAGGACAGGAGAAAATAATGACATTTCAGGACACAAAATCTCCAAATAAAAGCATGTTTTGTCTATACAATAAAATAAAAAACGCATGCTGTATCTACGTGCAGTTGTAACTTTATTAGTTTACATTGATTTAAGCTTTTTATTTGATCTATGTTTTGCTACTTTCACTAAGTTTCAAATAAAAGATAAGAAAGATTAAGCTCCATAAACCAAGATTCGCTTCTCAGATGCTAACTACTAATCTGGGGGAAACTGTAACCTTTAAATATATTTTTAAAGTTATAAAAAAAACACCTTCCAGAATAGCATAATTAACCTGTTTATAAGCAGCAATCGGGCCGTGATCTCCAGAGGCAAAGCATTCCGCAATAAAAACGTGGAGCATCCTTAGGCAGAACCCCCAGCCTCTCGTCACTGTCCCCAAGTCCCAGCACAGCCGCAGGTCCCCGAGCCCGGCCA